TTTGACAGGATTGTTTTGGGATCTTTTGTGTTTCCATATAAATTTCAAGAATGATTGTTCTATTTCTTTAAAACGCCATTGGAACTTTGATAGGGATTGCATTGAATCTATATAATGCCTTGGGTAGGAAGGCCACTTTAATAACATTATACCTCTCCAAATATTTGTACATTGTATTTTCATTGTCTTATAATTTTCATTGTACAGTTCATTCACCTCTTTTGTTAAGTTTATTCCTAGGTATTTAATACTTCCTGATGCAATGGGAAACGGAATTGTTTTCTTGATTTTTTCTCTTCTAGTTTGTTTTTATAGATAGGAATGCAAGTGATTTTTATACATTGATTTTGTAACCTACCACTGCATAGTACTGACTGTTTTATTCTAATCTAACCCTTTCAGCAAGATTTAATTGCTGACCATTCCTGCTTTCTGGAACGCTCCTCTATCAGCCTCTGTGTATGGTCTCCGAGTATAGGGGCAGCTTCTCCTAGTGATTGCCTCCTCCTGGTAGTGACACTTTGAGTCTGGACTCGACTTAGGGACTTGCTTCTAAATGAAGAGAAAATGGCAAAAGTGATGAATGATACTTCTGAGATTAGATTACAAATAGACTTTGTAGTCTACCTCATTACATCTTGTTTACTCTTTCATTTGATAGGAGGTGGCTGCCATGTTGTGGAAAGGTAGAGAGCAAACAGCAAAAATGCTAGCGGGGCCCACAGTGAGTGAAGAACTGGATTCTGCTGAGGAACACCGGGCGAGATTGGAAACAGACTATCTCTAGCTGAGTCTCAAGGTGACTGCAGTCCTCAATTGCAGCCTGTGAGAGGCTCTGAGTCAGAGGACTGCATGAAACTGACCTGAGCCCGGAGTACTAATACACAGAAGCTGAGAAAATAACTTGAAAATTATGCCACACCATGTCATTGGCTGAACTGAAAACAATGTTTTCTTCAGAAGTTTTGCATATGACTCTACTTTCCAAATAAATCAAAGTTGTGAAACAATAAGATGGACAGACTAAAACAAACAAACAAACTTTAAGGATTAATTTTTGTTTATTTATCCAAAAAGTTTATTATATTTTAAATAAAGCAAATTCTCACCAGAGAAACGACACTCTAAAGCAAGGATATTGACACACCCAACTGTGGTTCAGAGAGCCTGGTCTCATGGCCTTAGAGCACAGCCTCACAAGAAATTAACTTCTTTGTATGCACTTTATAATTCTGGCAGTAAATATAAAAAGCTTATTGTTCATCTGAAGGGACTCTGGTGTCAACTTTTGGGAATATGACAAAATTCTTTATGTAACGTGTCTTCACTTTTTGAAAAATACTTCTTCTTATTATTATTTGCACAGAAGAACTGGGGTGTAGGCCAGAGAGAATTCACTAGACACAGAGTGGGGAGCAAAACAGGTAGATCTACTGAAATCCACTGCTGAGGGGAGCAGCAGGCGAGTCAGGAGAGGTCTGCTGTGACCTATGTGGATCCCTGGTCAGGGATCGAACTCAGCCCTGATATCGCTGAGACTTAACGCCTAGGTCACCAGGGAGACCCAGTCTTCACTTTTGTCTAAAGCAGCAATTCAGGTCAAACTTTAAAACTCTGTAGGATTTTGGCATGACAGAATAGCACCTGTGACTGTGAGGACACGGAGAAAATGAGAAGCAGTTGAAAAGACAGCGGATGCTCAGCAGCTCCCCCAGCAATTTCCTCAAAATCTTTCAGTGGTGTCACATTTCACTTTGGGCAAAGCAGGACAAGTGGAAAAGTGGTTAGAAATGATCAATGAGCAAGTAATGCCAAAGAAACTGAATGGCCTGGAAAGAAACTGGGAAGCCTCCCAGTTACAGAAGAAAGTCAGTAAAATAGAGTTTGAAGGTAGAATGCAGGGCACGGAGATGAACAATGTCCCAGGCATGGCAAAATAATACATAAAAAGCCAACAGGGCCAGCCAGAAAGGACATGTGCAGGAAAAGCGGGACAATAAAAGCTTGAGTCCTGCCAGATCAAAAATTGAAAACATATTTATAATGCCTTTCTGAGGGGAGCCAGATTTTTGAATTTATTTTAAAGGCCCATGGTTATTTGGTGATGGGGTGGGAAGGTAGGATTGGGAGAATATTTAAGAAAATATATAACTGTGTAGCATTTAACTGAGAAATAAGTGCTGGAGTGATGGAAGGTACCCAAAAAACTCCTAACACATTTGTACACTTTTCTTTGACAATTTTCCTCTCTCATTTAGGATTAAGATGTAATCTGATGAAGGCCCTGGAGCGTGAGTGGGTGCACGGTGAGGAGAATCTACTCAGTTAGCAATTAGGAAATATTTTTTCTCCCTATGTCACTCGGCATGGGTCAGATTTCTAGTATGTTACTAAAGAGGCTATAATGCTTCCCTTGAAGTTTCTCCATATAGTTGAGATCAGAATCCAGCTCCTCAACATTCAATGTTTTCTGATTGTCGGAGCAGGACTCAGAGGCTACGAAGAGGACTCAATATTCCATCCTGGATCTTGTCATCCAGAGGCCACGGCACCCAGGGTATGGCCAGGTTCTCTCCCCACCGGGCACAGAGAGAAGAAATTAGGTGATCATGAAGGAACAGGGAAGAGATTCATACTCCCTAGAGAAGTCCAGTTCTTAGTGGAACTCCTTGAAGCATGTGTATCTAAAATAAAAAAGACTTACCTATTTGTTGTATTAATTTATTATCGATAGAATTTGAGGTTCATTAATTAGACATGTAAGCAAGAGAACCACAAAAATAAGCAAAAAGATCTATGGTGAACTAAGGAGAGGATGGAGATGAAAGAATAACTGGGGTGTAGGCCAGAGCTGTGAGGGGTAATGCATTCCCCAGACACAGAGTGAGGAGTAGAACAGGCAGATTGACTGAAATCTACTGTTGAGGGGAGCAACGGGGGAGACAGGAGAGGTCTGCTGCACCATGTGTGTCAGCTCCCTGGCAGGGAATTGAACTCAGGCCTTAACTCAATGGTGACAGTGCTGAGACTTAACCCCTAGGGAGACCTCACTGATCTCTGTTTTCCTTGCTCATCTCCAATGTGATTCTCCACTTCCTATGTTCAATCACTTTTTAACTTTTCAAGACTCAGTTTAGGGAAGTCTTCCTAATTACAAGTCCTCTAACAGATGTTTCTTGCACTTCTCCCTCACTGGACTGTGAAGTCCTACAAGGTAAGGGCCAGACCTTCATTATCTCTCCATGTTCCCAGGATTATATCCCACAAGTCTTCACTAAATAGGAAAAGGTTCAGGAAAGATGGGGTGTATAATGTGACTAAGTTAGTTTGTTGACTAGAGTGGATGAACAGTAGTGTACACAGACCCTGCGAATAACCCCCCTCTCATTTAGCAGCAGGTGAGACAATGGACTTTTAAAAAGCTTTAGAGAAATCTCATGTAAATGGAACAAAAATCAACCAATTCACTTGAAGGTAAATTTTTAAAAGGAAATTTACTTCACTAGCATGGCAACTCCAGCCAGTTTTTCAGCGAACTGAAGCCAGGGACCAAATTATTTTTCTGGAAAAGAGGAAATCTTTACAATCATGTGACTGCAGACTTTGCATCCATCCTTGAAAAAATCTCTTCTAGAGAAATTCATCTAAATTTGCTCAGGAGAGTTGCAATGGCAAGTGTTGACAGAGAAGTCAGTTTTAACGCTTTGTTGGTTTCCAAGGTGAGGAACCTGCAAGTTGCTTTGTGGTGAAAAGTACTTTTAACACACACACACACACACACACACACACACACACACACACACACACACACAGAGCTTTTTCACCAGTCCATTCTCTACTTAGCAGACTGTTAAACTGAAAAGTACCCAAATTTCTAGGGGAAAAGGAGAAAAAAAAAAAAAAAAAAGAACAACTTAACTCTTCAATTAGTGTTGTCGCCTCCCCCTGAGGTAGGACCCAACCACGGATGGTCGGAGAACTTGGGGACGGTTTTTCTTCCAGGCTTTGACCCTGATCTTCTGCCAGTTGCCATTAAGCCAACTCCGCCTAAGATCCACTTCTCTAGATCAAAATCTAATAGAGCCCGTCTTCAGAGTGGCTCCGAATCAAATCTCATGAATAAGTGAATCACTAGAAACAAATTTCTTAAAAGGTATTTCAGGATAAGTTCTTTCTTTTTCCCACAAAAAAATGGGGCCGCATTAAATACACCAACAACAGAATACTTTCCACGTGTGTGACATAACAGTCTCAAGCAACACTGACTTTCTCTGCAGACTGCAGTCCTTCCTTTCCGACACAGGGGACTCTGCTCACTTCCCCCGGGTGCCGGATGGCACTGGCAGAACTGCCATGGGCATGGAGAGCAAGGATGGCCCAGGCCAAGCTGCGCTAAGCTAACCACTCTCGGGATGGGAACGCCGCCTGCCCTCAAGGCGCTCGCCTCGCTGGTTTTCAGGAGCTCTGGCTCCCGGGGCAGGCCGGCTCTTGGGAGAGGGCTGCAGTCAGCCCCGCCCCTGGAAGGGGGCTACAGAGCCCGAACACAGCGCCTCGGCGCCAACCTCCTCCTCCCGCCGCGCGTCTCTCCCCAGGCCAAAGCGCAGTCTCGGGCTGTCCCGATTGTTGCTGGCTGCGTCTGTCACATTGTGGGCCTGGTGACATGAATGAATGGACTGGACACACCTTCCAGCCTTCTGGAGAAAAACTCCTTCTCGGATCTGCATAGCGAGCAGGAGGGACTCCCCCGGACGCCCCCAGAGCCCACGCGGTCGGGTTAGGGAAACACACAGCTTCCCCCTCCCACTCTCCTCCCATCCCTTAAAACCGCCCAACCCAAATAAATAATATCCTCCCCAGGCTGCCGGCGTCCTCGGTGCCCTCTTCTCCCCCAGCTGGTGCGCTCCAGCCCCGCGGGAGGCGGCGGCGCAGGCGGCAGCGCCGGGCCCGGAGCCGGGCGCGAGGGGCGAGGCGGGCGCGCAGCCGGCCCGGGGCGCCACATCATGCTCCCCAGCGCCGTGGCGGCCCACGCCGGTGCCTACTGGGACGTGGTGGCCTCCTCCGCGCTCCTGAATCTCCCTGCCGCGCCGGGCTTTGGCAACCTGGGCAAGAGTTTCTTGATCGAGAACTTGCTGCGGGCCGGGGGCGCCCCGCCGCACGGGCTGCAGCCGCCTGCGCCCCACGGCCCGGCGGCCGTCCTGCCCCCCACCGCGGCGGCCGCGGGCGCACAGGTTCGGCCCCTTCCGGCCAACCCGGTACCTCTCAAGCTGTGCCCGGCGGCCGAGCAGGTCAGTCCGGCCGGGGCGCCCTTCGGCACGCGGTGGGCTTTCCAAGTGCTCAGTCCCGCGGCGGACGGCGCCAGGTTGCCAGGCCGGGCTCCAGGGGACCGAGACTGTACCTTCCAGCCTTCAGCGCCAGGTGAGCCAGAACCTCCCTCGGCAGCCGCCGCGCGGCACCTCCCAGCCCGCTGGGCCCAGCATCTGCGCGCGCCGCGGTGCGCACTGCGCCCAGGGCGCCCCGGCAGCCGTGCGCCCCAGTCAGCGCTGGCCCGGGACCTGCCTAGCACAGCTCGAACTTTAGTGGCGATGCCGTTTAGGGATAAGGAGGTGATTGCTGTTCATTGTGACCCCTGCCTCCTTTCTGTCCCCCCTCTTCCACCATCTTCTTCTCTGTCCCCTTGTTTCAACAAGTGGAGAGCTACTTTTTCTGGCTTTTCGGGTGCAACCCTTGGAGGTACCTCGTGTTAGTAGCAAAGGGCAGCCCCTGACTCGGGATGTTTGGATTCGCTGTACCAGTTTCTCTCTGGGTTTCCCAGGTTCAGCAAGTCTGTCCGCCGGCTCCGGTTCGGGAGGCCGGGCGGTATCAGACGGGTGGAAAGTTGTTGGCAAGGTTAGCTTCGTGCCGCCGGTTTTGAGGGCTTTTGTCTCGCCAACTGTTAATGACAGTCGCAACAGTTCAAAACGATCTTTGGAAAGGAGAGTTGCAAAGCGTCATGACTTTCCGTGTTTATACTGTGAATTCCTAAGTCGGGAGGAAAAGCAAGGCCAACTTTTTCTTCTTGCTGAAATGGCTGAGTTGGCACCTGGAGTGGGAAGTTCACTGATAAATGGGAATTTTCCAAAAGAAGGGCAGTTTGGATTTGTTTTAATTCCTAGAAACTTAAGCAGTGTCACTGGGATGCAGGCCGTTTAGTCAAATATTAACTGCCGAAGTGGGAGTGAAAACGGGAAGAACCTCTTAGAGACCCAGAAACTAAGATACACTTGGATTTTTTAAAAAAAAAAACTTTGTCCTTAGACGATCTTAACTAATTCTTTTAATCCCGATGGGTTTGTCCGGAATGACTAAGAAACGCTTTTTCAACAGATTCCATTGTCCCAGCAAACTGTCGGATCAACTTTTTTCTTTTTTTTGTTAATGGTTTTATAGAATTCAACATGTTTCGAACTTGTCCTGATCTTTCTGGTTGAAGTGGTTACTGAACAAAATGAATGGAACAAATAGAATTATATGAGCGCCTTTCTTATTCACATAGTGTAGAACCTAAACTCTGGAAAATCCTTTTTGCATCTTGGGAGAGGAACAAATACAGTTATGGCAAAATGTATGTGCTTGGAAATTTGTTCCACTCTGTTCTTTTTGACTTATTAGAAAAATTAGAAATGTATAAAGTAGACAAGAGTTAGTAAATAATGTTTCATAAAAATAACCTTTTGAAGAACATGTGGTGATTTCAATAACTTTGGAGGGCTTGGTGTTGTATTCATAGGAGTAATTTTTCAAGGATTCTTAACTTTGCAGATTTTACAGATACAGTTTAAGTAAATTTAATCAAGTGTGGGTATTTCAATAACTTCAAAATAATTTTGTATACATACTTATTTCATCCAATATATTGTAACTGTTGAGAAAGTTTCCTAACTACATTCTTTTTATTTTCAAGAACATGTTCATTCTTGTACCCTTATTAAAGTATTAAAATGCAAAAATGATTTTTTGAATAATTAAGAGGGCATAAGAATTTACATTTCCCTTTGAAGTATTCCAATATAGTTTGAGCATCTATTTTTCCTAATAACTTATTCAGTCTTCATGGAAGATTTGATGTTCTCCTGGGTTCATTTTCATTTGAACAAATAACCTTTTTATTTTTTTGAAATCATTCTTATCAGTAGTGCATTTAATTTTTTTAAAACTAGAAAAATATTTTATGCAAATTAAGACCTGGTAAATTTGTGTTCACCAATATGCTGCTTTAAACCAGCATTTCCATTACTTTATTTTAATAATTTGGCAAAGAATGCAGTTTTCTAAAGATTGCTCTAGTTTTACTTAAATGACAGTCTTGCCCTCCCAAAATGCTTGGATACTGTTTTATATAGAATTAAAATGAATATTCACTGTCACCTGGGGTTTAGATGAGGATGAAATAGTGACTGAGGGTCTATAGCAAGCGCAGAGGTTATGGAAAAACGACTGTTTTCTGAAATGCTAATGAACAACAGTTCTGATTCTTTAGATTCTAACTTGGGAGTGGGTCACAAAATGTGAATTTTAAGAACTTCTCATATTGACTAACTCTTTTTTTTCTCATAAGTTGTTGAGTTCACCAGTCTAAATGTTCAATAAGAAAATCAGATTTTTTTTAGAAAAGCACATTGATGAAAAACAGTGTCTTTTAATTAGGTACTTTATGTGATTGCATGTGTTTAGGCGGTTTTAACTTTTGTTACCCACTGTTGATTATATCTTATATTTTATTCACACCTCTTTCCTGGGTCAGTCTCTGTTCTAGGCCATTGGGACACTTGTGAACAAAACAGAGGGCATGCTCCATGCAACTGACATTCCTTGTTCGCTACTGCTTTATGGTTTATCTAGCATTTTCGTAATTGGCCATTTTTTTCTATAATTTTTCCACTTGCTGATTTTGTTCCTGTCTGATGTATCATTTTAAACATCTCTGAACTTGTCAAAGAGAAAAAAGATGCCTCAACTCCTCAGGTCCCCTAGATTAATCTCCTTTTGAATATGAGAGATTAATGAGGGATAATGAGAAAATCAATTGTATGTTATCCCAATAACAAATCAGATTGTGATTTTTGTATCTGAGTTCAATAGGGAAAAAAACTGGCTTCCCTTTCATCTTCTATGAGATGGGTCTGAGGGGGCTGATACTCCAACAGGAACGAAGATTTATAGGTTAGGGATGAAAGTATAACTGGTTCAAGTCTTGCAGGATTGTAGAGGAGAAAGGGGACACCCCACAACCATGCCCTGTCATTTGTTTATATAGGGTAGTTTGAAAATATTATTTTCAAAATCAAAGGCATTCCTCCATGTGAGAGGGCACACTGCAGTAGTAGGCAGTATTTAGATGCGCCTGCAGAGAAGGTAGCTGAAAAGGGAAAAAAATAAGGTCTTCGGTCTGCTATAGTTTTTTTAATGGGAAGAAGGTTTGCAAGTAAAGCCTTTCAACAGAGATCTTTCCACAGAAGTTGATTTATATTCTTTGATGAATATTGTGCTAGATTAAAATACTCTTGCTTTTATAAATAAAGGTCTTGAAATGTAAAAAGCTGAACATTTGAAATTGCTAGCAGTTTATCAGTTTTATTCAAAGAAGTGGGACAAATAGACTTACTTTTTAATAGTATTTGTTATTTTCAAACGTTTTGCAAAATGTTTGACATAAAATGTTTCCTGAACACAATTTTCTTTATTGATTATTAAATTTACTCTTTGTGTTACAGAGAAAAGGGACTGGGGAGAAAAGTTTATTCTGGATTGATGAGTTGAACTGTTCATTTTTTTTAAATTAAAGTCATTTTGTCCAGTAGTCTGTGATGTGTAGTACAGAAATGCAACCAGATTCATAATACATTTTTCTGGCACCTGTTAGGATCATTTCTAACTATTTATAGTTTTTGTGCTGTCAAGTTTTCTTGTCCATCTCCCAGTCCCAGTTTTACTATTGGTTCATTTTTCCTTGACTGGGTTAAACAACTTGCACTTAAATTTTGGGCTCGAAATGTTTTTCCTGAGATGCACTTTTGGCACTTGGGGAGGGAGAACAAGACAGAGCTGTGCTTCAAGTGTGGATTCCAGCCTTAATTTAGGAAGACTCTGTGGTTTGATTTATGAAGCCAGAGTTTGTCACTTATTTTTGCTAACTCATGCTCTAGATTTATTTTGCAAACTAAAATCACAGAATCTTACGATGGGCTGTGCTGACCCAGAAGCAGGAAAATGAGAATGGGGTATTTAGAGAAAAGGGTAATGACGGGACCCAGCCTAATGGTTTCTTGTTCAGCCCATCTCCCTTTTCCATCCTTCAGCGGAATTTGTAGATAGTATAAAATCGTATTCTTACTGCATCTGTGTATTTTTAAAAATCTCCTTAACACAGTTTTGGAATTATATATGAACACGTTAATGATTTTCCTGTAGTTCATGAGGAATCCGTTCTGCGTTAATTACTCTCGGTCCCCAAGTTAATGAACTCAAGGTTCAAGGAGTTCTTGAATTGAAGAGAGCCAACAGAACTAAGAAACCATTCCTTTACTTCTGTGCTGGTTGCGTTAGCCAAGCTCCTTACAAAATAATGATGGAGTTGGAACTATATCAGGGTAGCAATTTACATGCCTTTCATTGATCCAGGCACCTGGGTCACTCCCAGTCTCTAACACATACCTCTCTGCTTGGCTTCCCCAGCAGGAATCACAATCCCTTAACATATATGGACGTTATTGAGGTTTAATAACAAAACAGGAGTGAATGCAACAGGCAAGTAGGAACATTTTAGAACTCTTCCCTGACTTTTGCTGTCGGGATTTGAGGATTATTTTAAGAGGCACAATGTTTGAACGCCCAGGAAATTGCATATGGATTTATGCAGAAAGAATACAGGATTTAGAGCATTCAGAATTAGATACAGGAGGCCAAAGATGTCACATGTTATGGACAATTTTATAGGATTGTCAACAGTGATTTTATCTATATTTTCTTGCCATAAATGTGCCTCAGATGTTGGAATCTAAGCTGTGCATTAGATTCTGCTTCTTTTCCTTCCTGTTCTTGTTACCACTGGGTGGGGGTTGGGGGAATCTCTTTTTGCTGTAAGGAGGTATTTTATGATGAGTTTTGCTACTAAACCATGATAGAAATGGTAGCAACTTAAAAGTAAAGGAAAGAACATTGGACATTGGCAATAAATTTTCATAAAACACTTTAAATACTTTGCTATGAATGTTTTTGCAGACGTCAAGTGTTATCATTTTCAAGATATTTAAACAAGTGTGCCCTTATATTAGGGTGAGGGTGAACACTTCAGTTATTCCTCACTCAACCTACTCCCACCATACTTCTGTTTATATCTTTTTTATTTCTTATTGCATCTTTCAAGGGGACTTGATTTG